CCAGAATTTGCTCACGAGCTTTTCGCAGCCGCGAAACTCCAAGTTAGACCGATACTTATTTAAATGACAAACTGGAGCGCGCGGTGGTTTCATAGAAAGAAGTTTCCCCGATGTAAACGTGGCTCGATCACGATTAATTTTAAGATTTTCCGAACATTTTCCAGGAACAACAATGCTTCCTTCGTTCCTATTTCGTAATTATAAATATCGAGATTATGCACGGTGAAGTATTTGAAACGCTGGCAAAATTGGAATTTTTTAATTTAATTAAAAATGAAAGAATTGTTTTCTTTTTTTCCTTATAATGTTGTTAACCCCTTGCCTTACGATTTTTAAGTGATTTTAACGCATCACTTCAATAATACATTCAATGAAAAATATCGAGACACTAGTAGACTTATAAATTAAAACTGAAGTTTGAGTTGAAAAGAGCTATCTTAGCCATAACTACACTACGTAAGGAGGTAAAATGAAATACCACAACGGCTATTTTTGTGGCGTAAAAATTTAGGCAGAAGAAGGAGAAAAATCATTTTTTCTTTATTTCTTCCTTTTTCTGTTATTATTCAAATATAATCGTTACTGTTAGCAAAATCTATCCGTAACCTAATTCCTCTAATATTATGTAAAAATTATTAAAAAATTGTCGATCAATTCTTGTTCCTCTTACTTACATACATACAACTTTCCATTCTCCTGCGAATGTTCTCACGTAAACTCGTATCGAATAATTACGTTTCGCCATTTCTAACTGCATTTGGCTTCGCTAAAACCGGGTAAAATAATTTCAGTCAACTTTTTCATGCAAATACTCCACTGTGCGATGTCTGACGAAAATCCTATCTATTTCCTACATTTTCGAAAAGCAATTCGTTCTTGCGCATGTTTCGACACGATAACGCTTCGGTGTAATAAAAGCTTGTTTCGTGGCAGCAAGCTGATACTATTATAAGTAAAACCACTTGTCTAAAATCCTCTTAGCTGTATCGCGACGTAACGTCTGTTAAGTAAGGGTAGAAACGAGATGCTTAGCGGGAAAGTTGTAAAGGCGAAGAAGGGTGGTTCACGCGTGTGTTCGGAAGTGACGGAGAACGAAGGGAAGACACGACATAATAATCCGTGAGCGTGATCACCGGAGTCATAACTCGATGAGTAGCGGCGTGTACCCACGGCATTACTTTCGATCGAGAAATGGCTGTAACGGTGGTACCGCGGCCCCGCGATACAATTGAGTTTCCAGCTGCCTTGAAGGTCGATTAACGTTCAATCGAGCCCGGGCAACTCGATTATTTCCTGCAAATCGCTTTTCCTAAGGCCTCCCTTTACGAAGACCGGATTTCCTCCTTCCCTTCCTACCTTTCTCGCCCTCTCTTTCTCTCTCTCTCTCTCTCTCTTACTTCAGTCAAGGGTCTATACCAGGTCTTTGTCGTAATTACCTTGCTGCCACAAATTTGTCGAAACCCCATGGACATTGCAGACGTTGCATGGACGTTGCAGAAGAGCGAACGAGCGAGGGAGAGGAAGTAAGAAGGAGCATTTTTCTGATACATTAAACTGTCTCGAGCAATTTTTCGCGTTATGCCGGTGAACGAATTGGAAACAGCTCTCGAATGGAAATAAATGTCCGGGGACGATTGGAAACTGCTCCCCGATGGAGAACGGACAGATTCTTCTCGCTATCGTCGAACGATAATGGTAAACGAAATCGAATGATCAGCGAAGCATAAAGTCTTACGGTTTTGTCTCCCAGGTTGCGAACCCTACACGTGAGATAAGCGGTTTTTCCGATTAGGGCTGTCACGTTGGTGTTCTGCATGTAGTCGAACGTCGGCTCGACTTTAGATTTCTGACCTGAAGAATCCACCGGTAGCTGATTCCGCGGTCTACCTTGACTCGCGTGCCGTTCCATGTTGTCTATCGTACGGTCTCCTAAGCTTAGAGTATCTGGAACAATGGAAAGAAAATTTTGTGGTTTTTAATGAATATCAATATCTCCTTCGTTTTTCTCTTCTAATGAAACACCAGGTTATATTGCTAGGGCCGCGTGTTTCGGCTGTTTTTTTGGGAAAGTCAATTTATTTGCCGAGGATCGCGTAGTTTCTGAAGGACATTGATCTGGTTGGAAAAAGATACTAACTTTCTCTCGAAATGTTGACCAGACAGATCACCCTCAGCGGCAATTGACTTATAGTAAGCCCGCACGCAGTGAAAAGAGGGATCGAGGATTTATGGGCCGATTTCCGGAACAAAGGACTTTTGTGCGACGTCCAGCAGGTCTTGTTCAGAGGAGGAAATACATGACCTACGGGGGACCTATAGGGAAACCGCCCCAGTTTGTAACTGGACAATCCTAGGTCCCAGATTCTGCATTTCTCTCTAAGATGCGATTTTTGAGGCTATTTTTTGGGCGACTTCTGAGGCTATTTTTTGGGCGACTTCTGAGGCTATTTTTTGGGGGACTTTTGAGGCGACTTCGGAAGATTTCTTGCTCGGTAGAGGGGACGTTTCTTCAACAGGGACCGAAATCGTTGCACCGTTGGACAGAACTAATTTCGACTTTGGATCAAACACGTATGAACTTTATACGGAACATCTTTGCACTTCAAGCAGAACGGAGAGAGCAGTTTCCAACTTTACACAGAACGAACTTGAACTTCACACAGAACACTTTTGAACATCGAACTCTGAACAGAATTCTCACGGACTCAAGATCGTATTCCTGACCAAACGACAAATTTTACCAAAATATTAGCGAACTTATTTTTAACAAAAACTATAAGATTAACATGAATAGTGCTCTGTACATACATACAGGGTGTCTGTTTTATCTCAATACAGCGAAATATCTTTTAAGGAAGTGATGTTAGGAAAAAAATGATTGGGGAGATTTCAAAGTCAGTTTACCTTTTTTAAATAGAATGCTATATTTTTTTATACATAATATGATAGTGTATGTTAAGACGAATTCAACGAGGTGCGAACAAAGTCATTTTCTTTGATAAAACAGACACACGCGACAGTGAGGAACCATCTCCCGGTTTTTCGCAATTTTACGACCTTCCATGAAAGGAAATGACTATGTTCGCACCTCGTTGTAATTTAACGAACTTCGCAACAATATATTGTAAACACATTTTTCAAATGAAAAAGTCTAGTTGGGGCCACGATATAGCGAGGTCGTAAATTAAACTCTGAAGAATCGGCACCGATTGATG